GATCAAAAACAGTTAAAAGCTACAAATTTTGAATGGTTTAACCTAATGCTACACTAAACAATTCCAAAAGTGTAGGAAAAAAACAAAAAGCTTTCTAATGCTTTTATGAGCTAACCTGAATAGCCCATATACATATAAAAGCAAACCTTGGAACCAATCTCATTTAAAAACAAAGATTCTAATTTTTTTTTAATTTAGTATACTGAATTTGGAGGCATCACGACTGAATGCGATTTTGCCAGAAAGCAATACAGATTAATGGTTAACAGCAGAAGCCCCTGAGTCGCGTGGCCCAGAGTTTAAATCCCACTCTTAACATATACTAACAATGAAATGTTGCTTTAGTTCTTAACTTCTCTATTACTGTTTCCTCAACCGGGACATGAAGGTAAAAAAAAAAGTCTCCACCTAAAAAAGTGGTTGGGAAGATTAAATGAAAATAAGTTATAAAACTTTTAGCACAATTTCTTAACATAGTACCTAGTAAATATTCCTTCTGTTACAATCGTTCTTATTACTGACATATAAAATATTATCAGTTGTTGCAAAAAAAAAACAAAGACGAGCTACCCTGGTGGCGCAGTGGTTGAGAGTCCGCCTGCCGATGCAGGGAACACGGGTTCGTGCCCCGGTCCGGGAAGATCCCACATGCCGCGGAGTGGCTGGGCCCGTGAGCCATGGCCGCTGAGCCTGCGCGTCAGGAGCCTGTGCTCCGCAACAGGAGAGGCCACAACAGTGAGAGGCCCGCGTACCGCAAAACAAAACAAAACAAAAGACATGTGATAAAGAGTCAACATCTAAATCTGATTTCAAAGCATTTTAAAAACGTATAACTGTAAGGACATTTCATATTACAATGAAACAATACATAACAGAAACTAGTATTAACCCTAGTAGTATTCTGTAATCTTAGCTAAAACAATAAAACAGTTTATGAGTAAAGAGGTGTAAAGATTGACAAAGAGGAGGTCAGATGATAATTATTTGCAAATGATATGGCCTGCATACAAAGAATATTGAAGAATATCAACAGAATATTAGAACTAATGAAAATTCATTAAGGCAGCTGGATACAATGTTAGTATAACAAATCAAAATTAGGTGAGAAAAGAAAGAAGTAAAAAGGGAATAAGCAGCTGGATCCCTTTCTCTCTGCAAACCAAGTCTTATGCTAATACCAAGATAACCAACTATTTCATACTAAAGAATATCCATTTTATATAATGGTTAGAGTGATTTATATAATGTTAACTGTCCCTTGAAATGTTGTATTATATTTTTATAACTTTAGATAATACCTAAATTAGAAAATACTACATTATTTTAACTAAGAAATTTACCCTGAATTCAGCTTGTATTGTTTTGCAAGTTTTGTTTTAACTCTTAATTTGGTTAATCTGTGACATCCTTCCCACCTAACCCCCAGTATAACTAAGTGAAAGTTGACTGTTGATCCCTAAGATTCCTTCTGCCTCCATCCTCTACTATTTCTTTTTTATCCTCCCTGTCTGGAATAAATGTATGCTTTGCTACACTAAACACTCAGATCTTAAAAAGTTGCTCATGTCTAATCATACTAACTTTAAGGCTTTAAAAGAAGATTCAGAGGCATTTAATGACTTGCCCAAGGTCATAGAAAGGTGATTTAGATCAACCCACATCCTAGTCTTTTCACTACACCGCCTTTATTCTAACAGTTGTCCACAGTTTCTCGAGCTTTCATCGTTTCTCAATAATGTTAAATCGTGAGATTCAGTTAGGGAACTAAAATAACCCCTGCACTTGCATTCCTTTTAGAAAACACTCACTCATTCATCAAATATTTACTGAAACCTACTAAGTGCACGAAGCTGTTCTAAGCCCTAGGGTGAAACGAAATAGGCAAAATACCTTCCCTTATGAACCTTATGTTTTATTTAACTCAGGAGAATACATTTAATGAAAATAGTATCCAGCTCACTTAACTCTACAAATTAATTTGGTCCCTGAGAGGAAGGCTACTATATTGCTGCCCTAAAGAATCCTTATTTGGTAGTGTATACATGTCAATGCTACTCAGCCGCATAGCACAGGAAGATCAGCTTGGTGCTCTGTGACCACCTAGAGGGGTGGGATAGGGAGGGTGGGAGGGAGGCTCAAGAGAGGATATGGGGATATATGTATGCATACGGCTGATTCACTTTGTTGTACAACAGAAACTAACAAAGCATTGTGAAGCAATTATACTCCAATAAAGATGTATTTTTTTTTAAAAAATCCTTATTTGGGACCTGAATCTATGAATCAAATTTCTGAGATGCAAAGATCCTACGCTTAGGTAAATATCAAGCACAAAGGCTGAATACACATGTTCAAGAACAAAATTATGACAGATTTTAACTGTAGCTAATCTGCTGCCAACTCCACCTCACCTGTATCATCTTAAACCTCAAAAAAACAGCTCTCTGCAGTTACAAGTAATCTCATAACTCCCTGCCATGGCTAAACTTGAGCAATCAAGCAAAGAACACATCAGAGGAAAAGACAGCCCTTGCCTTATGTTACCCTGTGACAAGCTACTCTGTAGGTGACAAAAGACATATGAGTGTTGTGCTTTTTTTTTTTTTTATCATACATCCTTCTGGAAGAAAAAAAAACTTGAAAAATAGAAAATTGTTCCAACTACCAAAATATGGCTCTTTATATAAAGCTAATATTATACATGAGCATACAACACACAATTTTTTAAAGGAGAGCAGAAAACAGGCTAAGATTTTGGTTATGCAATATGCACTAGACAACTCTCGTTTTACTAATAATTCATAAAGTTTCTAATTTAAAAGCAAAGAGTTTCACTTTTGTTTCTTCTAAAGTAGTTCATTTCCTAGTTACTAGCTTGAAGTCTACTTCCTAGTTACTAGCATGGTGGATTTAAATTGTCGATTCATTTTAAGTGGATGGTTTAAGGTATTTGAACCTATACGAATATTTTTAAATAGTTCTGAGTAACAAAGTAATAGTATATTGATATAGAAAGCAAACACATTACATGTTTCTTTTAAAAATAATACATAAACACCATGATGAAAGTATAAACATAAATGCAATTGTATTGCTCTAAAAAAATGTCCACAGTATCAATGAGATGATCTGACAGACACACACGAAAAACAGCATCATAATGGTAATATTTTAGACTAACAACTACTCCCTTTGTTTAAGGAGGGGACTCAGTAAACTAGGAAACTGGACTTGGTCGCCAGGACCACTTTCAGTAATTTGATTCTTGATTCACAATTTTATGCATAAACCTCTGAATTGGGCAGATCTGCATTACCTAATTTTATGCTAAAGAAGTACTTTAGTCCAAAATCAATTTTAAAAACTCACAAATTTCTTGCCAATGTTCAAATTTAAGAGATGTGAAAAATATGAGTTATATTTCCCACTTTGAAACACATAGCCTTTAATATTCAACTTTGGAGAGAACTATAAACAGAAGCGACACCAAACCTATTAAATATTGCTTAGTATACATATGACCACAAGATCCTCCTCTAAGTGTTAAGACTTTGTCATACTCAACATCAAAAACTAAAGTTTAAGGTATTCCAAACAGAATGGAGGGGATTAGGAGATAAACTGTTCTAAACTCCCATTATTAAATCTAGAATTATTTCACTGTAAATAAACTGCAGTCTGCAATAGTCTTCTAAATTAACCAGTACAGCACACAAGAGTTCCAAAGACAAGTTTCCCAAAGCGCCTAAACTAACAATGCACTATCCTTGCTTTCCAAAATTCTTGAGCATCTTCAATTACCTCAAGTACTATAATAAAATTCTAAAAATAATCTCAAAGCAAAAACTTAGCAAGCTGAGTGTATACACATAGTCAGCAGGACAGCAGCCCTTATTCTAAAATCAAGCACAGGTAGGATATAACAATGCCAAAACTACAACAGGGTGGGGCATTCACTACTCTCCCAGAAAAATCAAATATACTTTTGGTAGCTGCTCTCTGTAAACGCTGGTTACCCCCATAATTCCAAGACGAGTAAAGCAATGTTTTCCTTTTGCCCAAAATGCTTTTCACACCAATGACCACCCCCCCCAAAAAATATTAAGTCATAGCCAACTACTTTTCAGGATATGGTGCAAGCCGTGATAGTGCACTTGAGATTCTGAAAGCAAAATCTAGAAAAAAAGTAGCATCTCTCATTACTTAACGTAAAAGATCTGAAACTTCACAGACGCAGATTTTTTTCTTGAGTGACCATTCGAATGTGTGACTGAGGCAAGAGTAAAGGGTGAACGATGGAACAAGGTCAAACTTAGGGGACAAAGGATTCCTGGAATAAACATGGCCAGAAAGGTTTCCTTAAGGGACAGTTTCTATATTCAAAAAATAAAAAAAAGAAAAGAAAAAGAAACGGAAGGAAGGAAGGAAAGGAACGAAGGGAAGGAAGGGAGGGAAGGGAGGGAGGGAGGAAGAAAGGAAAAGGAACCAACCAAATCCTCTTTTACACCGAGTCTACCTGGTTATTGTACCTGTCCCGCCAGGCCGACTATTCAATTCTGGTGGAGACCCTTTTGCAAAATAGCAGGCCTGGAATGCTTTTACCTTGGAAATAAAAACTGGGTTCAGAAGGGATGACAACCGTTTATTCCTTTTTTAAAGAAGAGGAGGAAGATAAAGTTTAATTAAGAAGCCATATAGAGGAGTGTAGGAATGTGAGGTCGCGCTCAACCAATACCCGGCACCGTCTGTTACAGGAAAACAATCAAGAAGGAAGTGGACTGAAACACGCTAACTACACCCCGCTTTCCACACGCAGCCCGGAACTGGGCGCGACGCCCCCAAAGCGGGTAGGGGCGGGGGGCAGCAAAGGGGAAGCCCAGGGCAGCGGAGGCCCGGGCGGCGGCGGGGGAGGCCGGGGAGGTCCCGGCCGAGGCGGGTGAGGGCGGCATGTCAGAAGGAGGAGCGGGGCCGGGCCGCACCGGCTCGCGGCTTCGCCTCACCTTCTGCGCCGCGCTCTGCTGCAGCACGTTCTGCTCCACGGTCATGGCCCCCGCAGCGCCGGCGGCGACACCGGCGGCGGCGTCCGGCTCCTCGAGCCTCCGCCGGCCCTGACTGCCACGCTCCGCCGAGCTCCAGGGAGCGGCGCGGACGGCCGGGGAGGACAGCGCCCCCGCCAGCCAGGCGCGAAGGCGATGGCGGCCGGCGTGCGCGGGCACCGCGGGCTGGCGGCGAGGCGCAGACAGCGAGGGCCACGGCGGCGGCCCCACGACTCCGCGCGGCCCGCCTCAGCACGGTTCGTCGGCCGCGGCCCGGGCCATGAGCGGGCGGCGGACACTCGGCGCGAGAGGGCGCGAGCAAGTCCGGACGCGTCACTCTCGCGCTCCTTCGCTGGCGCCTCGCGGGCCACTGCAGGGAAGGGAGAAGGGACAGAGGGAGCGGCCGGAATGGCGCTGTCCTCCTCCTCCCACCGCGACTCCTCCTCCCCTCCCTTCCCCCAACAGTCGTCACCGCCCCCGCCCGGCGGCTCCTCCCGCGCCGAGCCCCGCCCGCCGGCCTCCCTAACCCTACATTATGACCCGCGGGGCGGCGGGGCGGGGCTGAGCCGCCCCGGAGCCCCACCCCCCGTACCCGCGCTCCCGGGGGTGGAGCGAGGGAGCGCCACGTGGGCCGGACCTCGGAGCCGCCCCTGCGGCAGGTTGCGCGACGCCTGCCCTTGGCTCCGCGATGCTCCAAGCCGAGGCGGGAGGGCAGCGTTTCTCTCTGTGCCCAGAATTTGTTAGATCGCTGGCTTTCCGAACTCCTCCAAGACAAAACATTTCTCTCCAGGCCGCATAACGTCCCAAAACCGCTTTGGGTCCCGAATCCCAGCTCCTTTCTGTCTCTGGCCTTTCTAGGAATTTCACAAGCAGTATACTCGCCGGAAGGGAAAAGTCAAGTGTGGTTTAAGCAAAAGGCTGTCAGAAGCCCTTATGCTGGAATGTACTTTAATCCTTAACTAATCATTACGTAAATGAATATTGATATTCTCTGTCTACTTATTTCATTCAAACATGTGCCAGTCACTGCTAGGCTCTGGAGAAATAAGGTATATTTTCCAAAGGTTTGATATAAATGAAATACGGTCTACACAACAGACAATATTACAAAAGTTTCACTGCCTAGATGGTACATCACCTAATATCCCAGTTGCCAAACAATTATCTGTTAACCACCCTGCTTGGAATACTTGACTATATGTGGCATTGTAAGGAAAACCTAATATTGAGAAAGCAATCTGTAGCCTCAAAAATATCATAAGTTTCAGGAGCTAATCTGGGGATAGGAAGCAAATAGGGACGTGAGGGTGATGGTGTGGCGGGAGAGGGGGAATAATCAGTGCGTATTGTCACAAATACAATGCACACATATGCAAATCTGGATATAGTTTTTAATCTGATGGCAAGAAAAGCAAGTTTGGTACGTGATCATTGAAATATCAGGTTTTATTTAATAATCATGGATTACAGTAACTCCTAAGTTTTGTAATCAATCTGTGCCCTTTACAAGCTGTCTTTGCTCTGCACCCTTAGATGTCTTCAATCGCTTTTGAGGTCTTTCTCTTGAGTCTTCATGTTTATTTGCTCATTTGATTTTGACAGATTTTGACAAATTTTATTTTACATCTTTAACAGAAGAATTTGAAAGGTTGTGAAGTGGTTGGAAACCCAGAATTTTAAGGAACAATGCAACAGTTCTGATAGAATGCACACATTTTTTATAACACTGAGACCCAAAGAGGGTGACTTGTCAACAAAAGCTTACTACAGCCAATTTTTCCTCATTTATAGATGAAAATTCTTTCCACATATCAACTCCAAGTTTGTCTGTGTTACAGATTTTTTTTTAATCTATCCAGTTCATGACATTTGAATTTAAGAAAGTTAAATTTAACATACAAATTTGGTACTGTGGTTTTATAAGGATATTGCCAGATACTAAAGTTTAGTTTCTAGAATTTGGCAATAAATGTTCCCCTGAGTTAGATTTTATTTTTTATTTTTTTATTTTTAGTTTTTTAAACACCTTTATTGGAGTATAATTGCTTTACAATGGTGTGTTAGTTTCTGCTTTATAACAAAGTGAATCAGCTATACATATACATATAACCCCATATTTCTTCCCTCTCGCATCTGCCTCCCTCTCACCCTCCCTATCCCACCCCTGAGTTAGATTTTAGTTCCACAAAAAATTATCTTACCAGTGCTTACTATATTATTCCCAAATAAAGCTCTTTATAGGGTAGTTTGTACCCTAATCACTTTTGATGGTTTCCTATTTAATTTTCTTTAAATCTTAATTGTGGTTTTGTAGAACTTTGAGAAGTAAATTTCATGTTTCCTTATAGGTATTTTTTTTTTTAGAAAGCATACAATCGGAAAGAATAGAGGATAAAAATGTGAGAATTTGAGATAAATTTGCACATAAGACGCATTGCCAGATATCCTAAATCATTTTTAAAGTGTGCCCCAATATCAGTTTTGCTGTTCATGCGTCAGCCTTAATATGGATGGTTGCTGGAATTATATATCCCCATTATATTATTTAATAATTCCTAAATTATTGCATTGCTCTGGATTGTTGACACTTAGGTAAGCAAGTGAGGTGATAAATTTCATATAAAATTTAATGTTTAGTTTTTTAAATTTATTTTTATTGAAGTATAGTTGATTTACAATGTTGTGTTACTTTCTGCTGTACAGCAAAATGACTCAGTTATGCACATATATACATTCTTTTTTAAACTCTTTTCTATTATGGCTTATCCCAGGATATTGAATATAGTTCCCTGTGCTATACAGTAGGACCTTGTTGCTTAGTCATTCTATATGTAATCGTTTGCATCTACTAACCCCGAACTCCCAATCCATCCCTCCCCCATCCCTGCTCCCCCTTGGCAACCACAAGTCTGTTCTCTATGTCTGTCTGTTTCTGTTTCATAGATAGGTTCATTTGTGCCATATTTTAGATTCCACATATAAGTGATATCATATGGTATTTGTCTTTCTCTTTCTGATTTACTTCACTTAGTATGATAATCTCTAGTTGCATCCATGTTGCTGCAAATGGCATTATTTCATTCTTTCTTATGGCTGAGTAGTATTCCATTGTATATATGTACCACATCTTCTTTATCCATTCATCTGTCGATGGATATTTAGGTTGTTTAAATGTTTAGATTTTAACACAAAGTCTGTTTTTCTATTGTGGATCAAAATGATGGTTCTAACAATATTTAATATTATATCTTATATATGAATCAAGGACATTGGTATTATTCTATCCTGACTCTTTATTTCTTTTCATTTAGAAAGGGTGGTATTATTCTATCCTGACTCTTTCTTTCTTTTCATTTAGAATGGGTTTGAAAATCTGTTTCTGGACACCCGAAGTCTAATATGTTGCCAAAGCACATCTGTAAGATATGAACAAGTGAGAAACATTCAGTTCACAGGGTAGATTTGAACAATTGCCAAAACAGAAGAGTGTTTTTTAAATCTACTTTGAAGAGGATTGGAATTATTTTTATTCTTAAGGTGTATTGACATTCTGGGGCAATTTTGTTTCCACCAATAAGGGAACCATAAGCAATCATTCAAAGAGGAGGTTTCTATGATGTCATAATAGCACCACTCAGCAATAGAGTGTTCAGAGATTGGAACCTGTAAGAGTACTTCCTGACTAATACATGCACAATAAAATGCATATTGAATTAAATGGGCAGCCATGAAGGAGAGAAAAACAGGTTTATTTACACTTTTACAGTGTGTGTCTAACTCTAACTTCTCATTCCAGTCGGACAGCTTTGTGGTCCTGGCGGCCATATTGTTTTATAAATATATCACTATTAGGATCTCCAGCCATCAATAATGCCTCCCACACTGAGAGTCTCCAGATGTTGCTTCTTTGGTCAGCATATTAGTTTGCTAGGGCAGCCATGACAAAATACCATGGACTGAGTGGCTTAAACAACAGAAATTTATTTTCTCACAGTTCTGGAGGCTGGAAGTCAAAGATCAAGGCACCAGCAGGGTTGGTTTCTCCTGCTGCCTCTTTCCTGGGCTTGCAGATGCTGCCTCTGCATATTTGGTTGACCCTCTGTATACACACTCCCCTGGTGTCTCTTTCTCTTTTTATAAGGACCAATCATATTGGATTAGGGCCCCACTCTAACAGCCTCATTTTAACTTAATCCCTCCTTAAAGATCTTATCTCCAAATATGGTTATATTCTGAGGTACTAGGGGTTGGGACAAACTCTGAACTTTAAGGGAACAAAATTCAGCTCATAGCAGTTATATTTAGCCTACTTTACTTATAATCCTATACTTCATGCCTATGTGATGTCAAATATCCTGTTTTCCTGCCCCATCCCATAACCTCTTAGATTGTCAAGGGATGCATTAACACATTAAAAGATAGTATCTCCACATTTTCTGCCAATATTGACACTTCCAATTAGAATAGTTTTGAAAAACTGAAAACAGATTCTAGTTGAATGTGAACTATATCTTTGCAAGGTCTACTTTGAAAGCAAGATCTATGTGGAGAAAAAGCTATACTTCATCAACTGAGAGACAGTACAATAAAGTGGAGATTTCTTGCATGAATCACTTGTTCTTCTTACCTTGAACATGCTCAAAGGCATACTCTGACACTGAAAATGGTTTAGAATCCCAGACCCTTTCTCATTTCTTACCTCTCTTCCTCTGCTATAGTGGTAGGCAAACATTTCCCTGAAATTATCCTATGACATATATGGGCAGAAAAAAACACATCAGAAAGTGACTAATGTCACTTTTCGAAACCTCTATCTCCCTTATTCAGGGCATGTGATTACTACGTATGTCCAAATCCCAAAGAGCCACTGAAAGACTGATAGCTCGTTTATCTTGGCCAACTTCCTAAAGCCTTCTGCATATTCCTTGCCTATTTGCTATCAGGAACATTCCTTGCACTTCTATTGCTCTGCTCTGAATCACGGAAAGAACTACCCATGCATATCCCATGCTCTCAGCTCAGCTGGCTTCAGAATGGATTGGCCAATGAAAGGGATAGGTGGGGTATTAGAATGTGAGAGAAAGGGAGAAGCCAGGCCATTCTGCTTTCTCCTTCTCCCTCTCCCCTTGGGGGCATCTCTTTGAGCTATGTCTCTTCGGTGGTTCCAATTTTCACCAGATTGGCCTACCCTGGTTCAAGGTTCTCCAGGTGAAGCAAGTCCCTGAGCTCTGGAA